AGAGCGGGAGCAGGGCCGAGCCTTGTGGTCTGGCCCCTGACTCAGCACCCCAGCCGGAGCAGGGCCGAACCACGTGGTCTGGCCCCCGACCCAGCTCCCTAGTGGGAGCTTGTGGGCTGTAGTTTGCCCACCCCGATTTAGACTCTAGATTGTGCTAATTCTTATTTTAGTTTTGTCGTCTGTTTAGTGATCTTCTACTGGGAGGTGCTTATGTTGATAATCTTTCAGCTGTTTCTGTACATTTTTAAGATGATGAAGGGTTTTTTCTCTGCCCCTATCAGCTATCTCAACTTGAACCTCCCACTTCCTCCACTCTTCTTCCGATGGGCCACTGATTTTCTAAGCTGTTGCTGTGGATTCATGACACCTTTCCTCTCCGCCAGGTTGGGTGCTACTTTTCTCTACAGCAGGGTTGCGAAACCTTGCCAGTCACTTCCAAAACTCACAAGTCAGGGAAGATCCTTTACTACCCCGATACATAGCTAACCTCTCTAGCCCTGTACTCCCAGCTCAACCTCTGCCATTGGTGGTAGTAGACATTTGTTGCACCATGTGCCAGTCCATCCTCTTTACCAAAACGCCATTTTCCGCAAACAAGTGTGTGCCTGCAACCTGAGTTCATGAGATATTCCACAGACATGCCTGCAGCCAAACTGGTACCACATACCGCTGAGTCCCATTGCCATTCAGAGAGGACCTAAGGGCACAAATATGCCTGTAAAAACATCCCAAGTAATCACATTCTTGTCTGATATTCCTGTGCTTGAGCATCTGAAGCACACCACTGGACTTCCTTGCAGGGCCGCCCAGAGGATTCAGGGGGCCTGGGGCAAAGCAATTTTGGGGGCCCCTTCCATAAAAAAAAAGTTGCAATACCATAAAATACTATATTCTCGTGGGGGCCCCTATGGGGCCTGGGGCAAATTGCCCCTCTTCCCCCCCCACCCAGGCGACCCTGCTTTCTTGACCACACCCAGACGTGCTTCTGCTAGATTGTAGGAGTGACTGGAGCCTTGGTAGCTCCTGTGCATCCACACGTTTTGGGCTACTCAGGGACCCTCTCCCATTGAGGTCTATCCTGCAATTCCCCAGATTGGGATATCTCCTCTTCTGGTCTCCCGTAGGGGCCACTCCTAGTCTGCCATACCGTTCAGGCCACTTGGTTCCTTTGGCCTCAAAAGAGATTTCTTCCCACTTGGGGGCCACACCTGCTGAGGCAAGCTAGAATTGCCTTACCTAGTTTTGGGCTCCCATGGATAGAACCTTCAAGAACTGTCCTAGGACCACTTGGTCCACAATTTTCCCTGTGGAACAGGTCTCTGGGATTTTGCTGCATGATGATTATGCCAGTACCCTTGGTCGTGGTCTCTGCAGGAATGGTTCAACCCAGAAACAAGCTGGTACGCTTCCATTGTCAGTCCCCATCTATCCAAGAGAACAGCCTTTATCACAGGATAGGAGCCTGCCTGTTTGTCAGTCACCATGCAGTAGGCTGCTTGCATCTCACACATCCAGAATGGTGCTCTTCCCAGCCCACTGCACTGGCCACTTGTTCAAAGGTACAGAGAAAGATCCTCCTGGTCAGGCTCTGGCCCCACCATTGTTGACACGCGAGGAACCAGTTTGCCCAAGCTACTCTCTCCAGTACCAGCCAAAGCCCCCGGAGCAACTTGGCCAAGCTGCTTCTGCAACCACTCTTGTTGCTGGAAGTGGGACTCCTGCAACAGCTGTTGAGTAGCAAATTGTACCTCTTGCTGTTTCTGCAGGCTCTCCATCAATTGCAGGAGCAGCATCTGCGTCTTTTTGTGCTGTTCCTGCTGCCACTGTAGCATGGCTGTCTACTGCTGCTGCAGTAACCAGTGGTACCACCTCCAACATCTTTCCCAATTACCCAGGTTGGGAGGAGTGTCAGTCAGTACTCGCAAGCTTCAATTTCCCCTCAATTTCAAGGGCTGATCAACTACTTTGCATTCTCCACCATGTGTTACTGCATGTCTTTACCAGAGCGCCCCCTTCTGGCATTGTGTGGTACAGCAAGCACTTGCTTCAGTTTCCCAGCTGGTCCTGCTCTTCCTACCCTCTATCTTCTGGGTTACAAAGACTCAATCTTCAGGCTAGGTCTCTAACAGTTCTACCCTTTCCAGGACATTCAAAGTCCAAAACAAGCGTAAAGCAACATAAACTAAATTCCTTTGGTAGCTCTACTAGGCATAAGTCTTCCCCAGTCCCTGGGCCTACCTAGCCTTTTCTTCCACGACGCTTTCCATCTGCTCTCTATGCTTGCCCCTTCCAAATGAGCAGGGCTTTTCTTTTTAAGCCCCTCCCTGGAGGCCTATTTCCGGCTATAGGTGTTTTAATTGGGGGTAATTGGCCTTCCGTAGCCCATTAACTCTATCCTGCCTTGCGTAGAGGCTTGTATGCCCCATTACAGACCCTTCCATGGAAAATTTCACATGTCCAACTTTTGTTCTAATTCTGAATGACAAGAATTCAGACATGAGAAATTTTCCACATGACAGAAATTCCTATTCCTACAGCGCTCTACTGACAATGTAGATCAAGGTTGTTGATGGAGGATAGCTGTAGCACACAGGTTACATCTATACTAGGAAAACTGGGGCCTGTACTTCTCCACTAGTGTAACTCCACTGGTTGTAGTAATTATGGAAAATGTATTGTAAATAGAATTCAGGTTCTAGTGATATTTATCTGTTTTATTTCTTTCTTTAAATTTAAGTAGTAGTAAAAGATCTATAAAAGTAATAATCAGAGGACCTAAATCTATTTTACAATAGCATAATAAGTCAGCAGCGTTAAAAAAACAAACATTCAAACACAAACTAAAATTAACTCAACTCAGCCTCCCAGTGAATCAACTACAGAAAGTTCCTTTCCACTCATTATCTCCAGGAACATAATCTTAACCTTCTCCAAAAAGCCAGAAATAAATGGTTAGATAAAATGGTGGTAAAAATATCTGAACCCTGTCTGCACTACCCCTGTTTCTACTACCAGTGGAGCAGCACTGGTGGAGTGGTAAGAGTCCTTATTTTCCTATTGTAGATAGGCCTTGGGTCCTGCTCCACCACCTTGATAACAAGTGTTTTGTTTTAAAATGTTTAAGGGTGCTTTCCTTATGGTAAAACAAAAGACTGACTCTTTCTAGGGATGGGTGAACTAATTCAGATAAAATAAAAATCCACCCGAACCTTCCTGTCACCACCTCTTGGGATGGTCTCTTGATGGGCCTCAGTTTCTCCTGACTGGCCCTCCTTAGTTTGCTCTGTCAAGTCAGTTCCTGGACCCTCACCTCTAATTAATCCTGTCAGCCCTTCACTTTTTGGGCTTGTAGTCACTCTTCAGTCTCCTGGAGGCAGCCTCGTATAAGGCTGTCACGACCTTGCTATCCCAGGCCCTTCTGTCTCCCTTTCCTTGTCTGTACGCTCCCGTTTATAGCAGGCCTTGTTTCTTCTATTGGCTGCAGCTCTGTGATTGGCAGCTCTAGCAGCTGCGTAGGGGTGTGATCAAGCTGCTTGCTTGTAAACAGGAGACTGTCTATGCTCAGTATGGGATTTGTAGACCCCGTTACAGTTCCTCAATAACTCTCTCAAATCTCAACCATTTTTTAGGGTCTGATAAAGCCGAGTTAACATTGTGTGCTTCTAATTTTCGTTCATCTCTCCATTTTCTAGTTTGGGGGAAAAGTGGAAATATTATGAGAGGGGCTACTTTCACAGTATTTCTGGCTCTTGTGAAACCAGGTATTCTAATGAGAGATCTTGAATCTCATAAGACTTCAGACCCAATTTCCAAACTATAAAGAGATTTAGACTGTTTATAGATGTATCTTTTTGTGGTAAACCCATCATTTTCTCTCATGTAGAAGATGCAGAAATAGTTTTCTGATGCCTGCGACCATGCTACTCTATTGCCTCAATTCTTTTGCAGGCAAGTGTGGGGGGAGCACTTATTCAGTAGCATGGCAAGATGGGGACACTTAGATACCATGGCAGAAGGCATAGTTTAAAAGCCTAAGTAGAATAAAACACACATGCATTGATTTGGGGTGTCAGAGGAGCCATCTGCACATCTTTAATCACTCACTGTCCAGATTTATGGTGGGGGAGAAATCCTTGGGGGTTGTGGATTTCCCCTCCACTGTAAGGAAAAATCTTATGTTAAGAATTGCACTTACTGTGATATGAGGTTCCTTATACCTTTACTTTTGCCACTTTTTGTCCATTGAGCCAAGAAATTCTTATAGTAGTCTTTTGCATGTTCTAATATGAATGATCCCAGTTTTTCAAGGATATTTTTAGGAGAAAAAAGCTGAACTAATTGATTTTTAACATTACTGAAGAAGAGACATTTTTAAGACCACCCTTTTTTAATTGAATATACATTTTAAACATTCAGACTTTTTATGTTCACTACTGTATGTTGGCAAATAAGACTATAAAAACAAGCAGCATAAATGAACATTTTGAGGAGAAATGAGGGAAATATAGAATGACAATGCAAGTGATTGGGATTTAGAAATTTACCAATGATTATTCAGCTGTTCCTCATTTCCCAGTTCACAGTTTATGTTCATACACTTTTTTTCTAGATAAACAGCTGGATAAAGTGTCAAATCTTCAGATATTTTCAGCTAATTATAGAAAAATTCAAGACTAACTGTAGGTTGTAAGATGAAGCAAATGCAGGTTGAGCATTCTGGTAATTCACCTAAACATCCATCCCTATTGTTATCTGATTTTTAAAAATACAAAGACATTCTTAAAGCTCTCTTAAACTGTTGCTTGTGAATAAATGAAGATGTATACTGCACTGTTAAATAACATTAAGTTCATTCAGTGTGTTCTTCAATAAAGGTTCTAGCCTTTTTAAAATCCTGTTTTAGATAGTCACAGTGAATGAAGTGAAAGATTCCTGTTCCAAAGGTCAGTTTACCATGAGTCTTTGCTCTATTGGTTTATTTTCTGCTTGTTTGCCTGCAGGAGCAGTCTCACAGGTGCTGGACAGCCTGGAGGAAATTCATGCGCTTACAGACTGCAGTGAAAAAGATTTAGATTTTCTACACAGTGTTTTTCAGGATCAGCATCTTCACACACTACTAGATGTAAGTATTTTTACAGTAGAAATTTGAATATATTTTCTTCTTTAATAGCTAAATATTTCTCTTCATTTTTGATGGAATTTTAAATTCACTGTGTAGTATTTGCTTCTTTTTTCTGTATCCTGCTTACTTTTGACTTTGTTACAAACAAGAAAATATATGAATTTAATAAGTGGTAAATGTAAGAAATTACTCAAGGAAAACTTGATATTAAAATACAACTATATTATAGTTTATCGTACTGCATAGTGTGAGTTTTAAAAATGCGATTTTTGCACACGTGATTAATGACTTGGTTTGTGAGTTTACACATTGAATAAATGGGTATAGTGTTAAAAATATTCTGATTCACAGAATGTGGCTCTTTTGTTGATATCTGACTTCTATTTTGTATTCAAAATTTGAATTATGCAGATTTATACTCTTTTTTTAAAGTGATGTATTCTGTGACCTTTTTACCAAAGTCTCAGTATTGCTTGGGACAATGATTCCCTAACAGATGAGGAAGTGGAGCAAAGCCTTTTCATTCATAAGAATGAAAGCCAGGTGGTAGTCTCAATACTTTAAATGAAACTTCTGCAGGTCATTGGATGTCAGGTCTCATGTTCTTCTGTACCAGATATGGACTTGCTTATACATGCCAGGTGTGTTCATCATAAGATCCTTTAATGCTCTGTCTGGTATGGCTGAGGTTCGTTTAACTAAGGTATTTTATACACAGAGCCATGTAGTGGCTGAACAGGGTAATACAGTTTAGCATTCCATTACACCTCCTCCTTTAAGCTCTACATTCCTACCACTTACAATATTTACGCTATCACGCTGTCTTTGAGGTTTAGTATGAATCAATCTCTCAAATGTCTCTGAATCATACTGGTTTTCTAATTACACAACCCTAACATGTAACACCTTGGGTCACCTGGCTGTCCATTTGTTGCAACAACTGGCTGTGGTCAGTTTGGAATCTCTGAGTCGTCATCTTGTTCTGCATCCACCATCTGTAGATTTTTTTTCTGCTGATTGTTCTTTCTGAGGAACAAATTGTAAATGTCAGCAGTTTCTGTTGAACTCTCCACTGTTGGTCTCGATCACATATGATCTGGGCAGTGAAGTCTTTTTCTTTACAACAGCTGAAGTTGTCCCTCCTTTTTCTCCATCCAGTTTGACATGAACATGGTCACCAGTTTCGAGGTTCTCTGATTGAGTGTTATCTGTTGTAAAAGTGTTTATAGGCTCTTTTTGCCTTTTTATCTGATTTGGCTACTCTCTTCACATTGGGCCACTTTGGAGATAGATTCTGTTTCAAAGTTGAAACAGTAGTTCTCAGTTGTCTTCCCATCAGGGACTATGCTGAACTATATCACGTAGCTGCTATTGGGTGTTGATTTTTAGGTGAGAAGAGCAAGGAATGGATCTTCCTGCTGTAGGATTTTCTTGGCTGCCTGTACAGCTCTCTCAGCCTCTCCATTCACTAGCGGGTAACATTCGGAATGAGTTAAATTTTGCTGCAGTGAATTGTGGTTCATTGTCCATCATTAGTTGTTCCGTAATACCAAAGTGGACCACATATTATGTCTTTAAAATATGTTGTTTCTATATACTTGGAAAAATAGACCACAATGACCAGGTAGTGATGTCCTCTGAATTCACATACATTTCCAACTAATCTATTCCAGTGTGTCTCTGATAGAAGTGCTTGTACATTTCATTGATCAACCATTGTCTATTAAGTTGTTCTATACTGGATCTCCTTTCAAAAGTTCAGTATAATCGAATCCTCCATCAAGTTCTTTCTCCTTTCTCACTAGGCCCATCATGGCTGCCACACTGTGGCTGAAAAGATTGTTGGTCTTTGATCCTTTGAACACTTGCACTCTGAATGCACAGTTTTAGTCTTTGTAAGCTGTTTCTGTGGTAAACTGGTCTGTGCAGTTCAGAATACCTCCAGGGCTAGTCAGACCTGTATCAGGTGACTTTAACTCTGGGAGGGGTTGAAGGTGATTGAAAGTCCCTTCTGGCATGACTGTGAAATGTCAGCTCCTGAGTCAATTTTAAAGTCAATAGTCTTGCCATGAATATTCATTTTCACTCTCCAGGCAGGCTCTATGTCGTTGGAAGTGATAGATCAGAGAAACAATGGCTCTGGATTGTTTGTAATATTAGTCAACTCCCTGAGTGCTTTTGTGTGGCGAACAGCAGCGAAACATCCATATTTCAAGCATTTATTACACCATGCACCTCTGGCTGGATGTGCATCATCTCTATGGCTATGACTTTTTCCACAACTTGTGCATGTAGGCTGGAGTTTGTCCCCCTTAACCTGGGAGTTCTCACTCCTTGCCTTAGGTGTGTTATGATATGTTTTAACACTCAAGTGTCTGTTTATAGCTTCTAAGCTAGCTTCAGGTTTTTCAAGTTGCTCCTGTCTTTTGTTCTGTGGTTTGACTAATTCTGACATAGCTTTACGACCTGTAAAGCTATGGCGACTAGGGTAACATCTCTCTTCATTTGTAGTTGCTGTGAAAGGCTTTTATCTGTTAACCCAATAACCATCCTATCTCTGATATTTTCATGTTTAGCATTCCCAAAATCAGTTTTCAGCCATTGTATGCAAAGCTCTTATAAAACATTCAACATTCCCCCTGGTTCTTGATTTTTCTGGTGAAAACATGCTTTTTCATAAACCACTTTTCTCTGAGGTATAAAGGATACATTAAAAGATATCAGTTTCCTTGTGGAGCTTTGTAGCGGTGCGAAATCTTGCAAAATATTTTTTCCAGTCTGCCCATTCTGAAGGTTTGCCAAAACTGAAATTCTCGGTGCATTGAAGAAAGGTATGTTGGTGAGATCCTGCAATCTTTCTTCCTTTTGTCTGCAACCTTTGTTGCTGTTTTCCTTCTGTTTCTGTTCTTAGTTTACTCCTGACACCAGGTGATGTTCTTCTGTACCAGATATGGACTGGCTACAGTGCTTGTTTTTACATACCAGATGTGTCCATCATAAGATCCTTTAATGCTCTGCCAAGAATGGCTGAGGTTCGTTTAAATAGGGTATTTTACACAGTACCACTAGTGGCTGAGTAGTGTAATACAGTTTAATATTTCACTGGAATGGAAAACACGAGGAGCTGGCTGCATTTGCCACTGTACTATCTGAATGCCTTCCAGTAATGCATTAAATGATGTGACTAACCTCTGTCACGTTGTTTTGTGCTCTCATTCTCTCCCCATCGGAGAATTGTGTTTTACAGTGTTGTGTTTTGTTTTGGTGGGAGGTATGTTTCTTCCATCTTCCTATGGGCACATCAGTAGCCAGAAAAATATATACCAAAACTTATGTCCCGGGAGGTAGAGTAAAATTAGATTATTAAAATGCTGACCCTTTAAATTCTTGGAGAAAAAAGCCCAAATATCCAGGTCCTCTCTGATCTTGGCCCTTATGCTGGTGTGATAGTGAGGTGGGTGACTGTCTATTACTGAATATAGCTGTTGGCAGAACATGCAACTAGATGCAACTATTTTACCTGAGAATGCCTACATATCCAGTAACGCATATGGTGGCCTAAGTATGAACTTCCAGGCCACATGTACCCCCATCACAGGTTTTCTTGGTTTACATACCTTTTTGCAGAATGGGGAAGCCAAACTTTGTAACAGATAAATAAGAGTGGTACTGAGACCTTTTATTTTTAACCAGGGAACACCTCACTGTTGGGTCAGATCCTAGAGTGCTACAAGGAGCATTAGGCAGTTCCCTCATAATCTGGACCACCCTTGAATCATTCTTGTGGCTGTTTTCTGAAACCTTTTCAGTTTTTTGACATCCTTTTTAAAGTCCAAAACTGGACAAGCATTCTAGTAATGGTGTAACCAATGCTATATAAGATTTATATGCAGCAAAGGACTAGCATGTGTTCTTGTCTCTCAGAAGTTTTTTTTTCAAAAGCCTGGGTAGTTCTGTGAGTGAGACTGAGACAGAAAAGGTTCAATTTAAAGGTACATTAAGATAGTGTTTTAATAGAGCACCATTGTACTAGGCTCATAGACTCATAGACTTTAAGGTCAGAAGGGACCATTATGATCATCTGGTCTGACCCCCTGCATGTCGCAGGCCACAAAGCCGTCCCTACCCTTTCCCTTGACTCTGCTGTTGAAGTCCCCAAATCCTGTGGCATAGTGACTTCAATTGGCAGAGAACCCTCCTGCTAGCGATCCCTGCCCCATGCTGTGGAGGAAGGCGAAAAACCTCCAGGGCCTCAGCCAATCTACCCTGGAGGAAAATTCCTTCCCGACCCCAAATATGGCGATCAGTAAAACCCCGAGCATGTAGGCAAGAGTCTCCAGCCTGACCCTCATTGGCCATTATACTATTTACCTACCAAGGCACGGTATTCATTTGGCTAAAATCATGTTTTTCCATTAAACCATTCCCTCCATAAACTTATCTAACTTAATCTTGAAACGAGACAGGTCCTTCGCCCCCACCGTTTCCCTCGGAAGGCTGTTCCAATATTTCACCCCTCTGACCGTCAGAAATCTTCATCTTATTTCAAGCCTAAACTTCCCCACAGCCAGTTTGCAGTTTAATATTGTACTAGAATATGTTGAATAAGGGAGAAAAAGACCCCGCCCATTACTAAAGTAAGATTTTTATTTCAGTAAGGCAGGTTAGGCAGTTTGTACACATGCATTGATATGATGCCATTTTGCCTCTGTGAAGGTCATGTTCTATGTTTCAGTGACAGTCTGTGAGGAAGAGTTTGTTCTCCTTGGAATGGTTTGGGTCAGTGAGACTACCAGAACACACACTCTGACCCATTATCTTCTGCTGAGTAAGAATTTTAGGATCTGTTGTAGAGTTTTTACTGTCAAATCAAAATGTCAGTTGCATGAAAAACTGTGCTTCCCACTTCTTGGCCTTTTTCCATATGTTAAATTTGTTCACATGTTCCTCCTCTTTCTCAAGAGTAGTTCTTATTTTTAGACTAAGCATGTGATTTATCT